TGACTGGAAGCAGAATTAGTGATAAAAAGTTAATTGCATCCAAGTGAGATTGAGACAGTTGACACTATCACTGAGCATCTGAGTCATTGTAAAAACATCTACAAACTGCTAAAAATATTTTTGCTCAGTCACACTTTCTTCCTAATTTGCAGTCACTGATCCTGGGAATCAAATGTAATGATTTACTAATTGCTTATGCTAGGATTTGAAAGATACAATGAAGTTTATTAAGATTTCCCTCTTCCCCCCTACAATTTTTCCATGGGACTGGTACCTGATGCACAAAAGGTTGGAGGACCACTCTATAACATGACAGATTCTGTGATTAGGAACAGAGATACACTCAAATTTCTCATTCAATTCATGAGTGGGTTTCTAGCACCCCTCCCCTTTATTATCAATCTGTATAGTATGACCACAATGCTTTCATCAGAAAGTTATAAAAAGTGCAGATGTAAGTTTCAGTCACAGATGTAAAATTCCTCTGAACTCAATAAAATATTGACTACACACCAACTGAAGAGCAGAGGCACATTGTAATGCTTAGTGTGGATTAATGGGAAGTGATAACCTTCCAACCTAGAGTTTCCAGGCTGCATATAAATATCAGATCTTGTCTGTATTTATCATGCTTGATAGGAGTTAAAAGCAAGCTTTATGGAAAAGTGCTTGGAGATAAATACAGAAATATAGATTACACTGAGTTTTAACTGTATTTTCTGAAAATACTATTTGTGGAAGGTTTCTGTATTATTTAAAATATCATTGTCTCCAATTCAGGTTCATAACCTCTATTTCCCTTGAGCAATATTGACTTCCAAGATACCCATTTCAAAGTTGTATTTCCTTTTCAGGAGACAGCCCTGGTGATTTACTGTGCTTTTGTAATCCACAGTTTATTTAGGGAATCGGCATTTAGATTAATACATTCTTTAAATCATATAAATAAGGGGCTCAGCAAGCAGGATGCATAGTGATCTTACTATCCACATACAGGTTATTTCTCAAATATATATAAATCATTGAATGAGAACTGCAGAAAGTACATATCTCTTTCCCTATAGTAACTGAAGTGTTAATTTAGTGGATTGAAATATTAAAAATTTCTTTGATCACAGGCAATAATTCACCATCTGAATTCATTATGGTGGCTGCAAAGCATTTTTTTTTCCTTTATTAGAAATCAAAGCTACTTTACCTGCATTTGCAGGAATTACAGGAAAATAATCATGAGGTACTTTTCATCTTCAGATTTTAGGAATGAAAAATGGAGGACAAAAAAGTATTTGCAAGAGAATACTCAGCAATCTTTTTTTATATATACAATGGATGTGATATCATAATCATCCATGCCAAAATAAATTCTTCTAGATTAGGCACATAGATGCTTGGTGAATCTTAATTTTTTTATTGTTATCTCTGGAGTACACACTGACTATGCTGCTATATTTCAGGCACAGTTGTTGAAAATTTGGGACATAACTTCCTGTCATTGTATCCTTCCATCAATTGTATAAGAGTCATAGCGGAAGCTCTCAAATAGAGCATAGTTTAAGAAACAAGGAACTCTTCGATCCAAAAAGCCACAATCTTGCTTACACATGACACAGCACTCCCCCTCTCCCTACTTTCCTCACTGGAATCTTTGGTGTCCAAAGAAAAAAAGGTGAAGTGAAATACTATTTAGCAATCACCCTGCTTCACATACAAAATGTGAGGAGGGATCCCCACCAAAAGGAACTAAAGATTTCTAGAAATCTAGATGAGGAAAAGCTAGCTTGCTCATCCTTTTGAAAGTCAATGCCTTTTGGAAATTGATTATTAATTGCTTTTCAGCTATTGGGAACCTTTATTAATGTTATAAAGCACAAAGTGAGTTTCCTTCAATCCTTAGCTAAGTACATTTTAAGGATTTCAAAAAATTTCTTTTAGAATAAACAACAAAAGAGTGGTTACAACTTTGGAAAGTTACAAATGGGCTAAGGATCCACATGGATTTGAAATAATATTTTTAAATTTTGTAAGAATCCTTTCCATTGGCATGATAGGAGAAGACTTTGAGGATAAAACACTGCAAAAAACCAAATGGAACTAATTAATTAATTGTTCTATTAAAGAAAAACACTTAAGTCTGATTTACTAATACAGAATGAAGCAAAATATTTTAATAGTGGACACATTGAAGGATATTTTTGAACAGCAAACCCATAAATTAGATAGATAGTACAGTTGAAAGATGTTATGAAATGGTATTTTTTTCCTGATAAATTGAGATTTATCTGAAAGTGCATTTAAAAATGACACACTATGATATGGAAAAAGATGCCACACTGGGCATACAAAAAAAAATCTTTATCTTAATACGGAATATACAAATCACAAACCAAGAAAGAAACCTGAATAATATTCCTATTCCTTTTCAAAACACACTTGTTTAAGCTTTGAAGAATTTTGTGAAAAGACACAAAGAAAAAATTGAAAAGAAATCAAATTCTAAGATAAATGATTAATGCAATGTCCATAAAAAAAATTGGTTACAGAAGTATAGTTGTCATCTGATACCAATTATCTGGACATATTTCTAACAATTTTTGGACCATTGTATTTACTCCTATACTTAACAGCGTTGCACCCAGGTAAACCAGGGAGTGACCCGAACAATCTGAGAACATGTATGTTATTTTCCACTTTTAATGTCAATACTTTTTAATTATATCTTAATGTCAGTACTTTTTAACATATTGTAAAAACTAATGTGTATTGCTGGTCTTTGACCATAATAAAGATTTACTTACTTACCCACGCACCCCCAAAAAAGATAAATGATTATAAAGATCAAGATTGTTAAAAGTAAAACATTTTTCTTTCTTTTTTTTTCTGTACTTTCTATTCTTATCATTATCATTAAAAGTAACAGATAATTGTCACAATCTAAATGGCCTTTAGTTGTAACTTGGTTTGCATATGCAAGAATATATGTTATAATTTACCTTGTAAGATTATCAAATCTGAATTCCTGCTAAAAAATGCAATGACTGTTGGCTAGGCATAAAGACATTACATTTGTTTAAAATCCTGTATGATTGCATAGATTCCTAGTGTCTGTAGAAGATATGCAAAACAATAATCTTGTTTAAAGATTTTATGGTCTAAATATAATTTCATCCTGTAGCTGAAACAGGATTTCTCTGCTGATGCACTTTTTGTTTCTGTCATTGACGTCAACAGCTGTACGCAAATGGGTACCTATCCATCATTCTAGTGTCAGAGAGCACACTTAGCTTCCACTGTCGTGCTTCTACAAGGCTGCGTAAAGTCAGGCCTTTTAGGTTACCAGACAGGAGGCTTTTTAATGGTCCTTGAACAATAATTTCTATTTAGTCTATATACTGAAAGCATTTTATCATATTAGGAATAGGTGCATATGCATATTGAAACAGGTTATTTTTTCATTCAACAGTCTTAATTATTTTAAATATTTTGCACAAGAAACTCCTGTATTGATAATCCGAATTATATATTGATGATTAGTTTATAAAGTAATCTGTGACATCATCAGAATGTTTGAGAAAGTAGTCCAGAAAAGCAAATATTGCGGGATACCTCTATGTCGGACACAGTGGTGGGGTGTCCGAATGCCCTGGAACTGTGTCCACCATAGACGCGGGATGCTTCTATGTCGGACACAGCAGCGGGGCTTTCAGACCTTCACTTTCCGACTGCTTCTCGCTTCCGCCACTGCCTCCCCTGACTGCACGTTCCTGCTTCAGAATGTCTCTTCTTTGGACATCTCAGAAACCCTTCATTTAAAATGCTGCTGCTATGTTGTATTCCTGAAATTTTCTTTTTGTTTTCCATCAAATCACCCAAAGTTCTCTTTTATTATGGAAATCAACACTTCCAAAGAGAATTAACTAATGACATTGACAGAAATATTGACAAGAGACCACAAAGGAACAAGAGGCTTATAAGAGGGCATATAGGGAAACCTTGAAATGAGTGCTATAAGGATTGAGCATGCTCAATAGCTACAAGTTGCTCAATGATGGTACGAGAATAATAGAACTAATTATTCAGTTCTATTATTGGTTTGAACAAAGAACAAGTATATATCCCATTGCAATGTTTTGCTTCTAGTCCCATTCTAATTTTGCTTCTGAACCCAAGGAAGTCATCACAACTTTTAGGACAGTATTATATTTTCAGTGTTAAAGCCAAAATCCAGACAGTGGGAATTAGGCTAAGTATATTTCAAAGCAAGTTAATGAATTAAATATCAGTGATCAAGGAAGGATGTTAAGAGCCCATACCAGGGGTGGGTTCCTGCCAGTTCTAACCTCTTCTATAGAAGAGGTTCCACAAATCTACAGTGCCATTTAGAACCGGTTCCAGCTCCCTCCCCCCACCCGTCCTCACATCATGAAGAGTGAGAGGAGGAATTCTGGGAGTTGAAGTCCACAAGTCTTAAAGCTGTCAAGTTTGAACACCTCTAGGTTTTTTTTCTAAAGGGTTAGGGGTGCAAGGAACTTGTAATTTGACAGCTTTAAGACTTGTGTGCTTCAAATGCCAGTTTCTGAGCCAACATTTTGGTTGCTAAGCAAGAGCGTTGTTAAGTGAGTTTCACATTTTACAAGTTGGCCACCCCCACCCAATCACATGGCTGGCAAGCCACTCCCACCGTCACATGGCTGGCAGGCCACCCCCACCCGGTCACATGGCCGGCAAGCCAGTCCCACAAAGCAGACTACATCTAAAGAAGAGGTTCTAAAAAATTTTTGAAACCCACCAATGGCCTATACAGATGCTAACTGCTCACAATGACAAAGAGAAACAAAATAAAGTAAGTGAAAAAAGATTGAGGGTCACTTCTAAATTGAATTGTATATGTAAATTTGGCATTAATATTGAGATTTAACACACTCAAATCAGGAAGAGTTGTTAGATGTAATTTATTTAAACTATAGAATTCATAAAAGCTAGATTTTATTCTGGATACGTCTAATAGTGTAAAAACATTTTCTTCATCATATATTTTTGTAACACAATTGGTTTCATAAGGATTGCATTGGAAATTGATACATCTGCAAGCTACATGTATAGTATTATATTGAATTGAAGCTCTACTTAAGATCTCTAAAGAATTTTAACTTTTAAAATATGCTGTTAGAGAATAACCAGAAAAATGAAAGGCATTTTCCACCACATGGATTGAGTAATTCTTTCTGAAAGGATCTACTGTATATTATCATGTCATATCACTTTACTTTATTACAATATAAGCCAAGTATTCCAGAGTCTAGATTATCAAAAGGACCTCCTTGCTCACTGAGTAAATCATGTGAACTTGGAGCTCTGCTTTATTCAGAAGAGCAAATCAGAATCCCTAATCTGATATTTGTGGAAGAGATAAATTCCATGTTTGATATGGTTTGTCAAAATATGTTTTAATATAACAAAAATTCACTTGGGCTAATCTCTGTTTTATTATAACTTTTGCATGATTTAGTAGAACAGCTTGTTAACTCAAGAACAAAAGTTATTTCTACAACTATGTAGAAATATTTATTATGCAGCCTATATCACGATGTCCTTTAAACAAATGAAAATATTTTTGGGGAAGCAGATTTTACTATCTTGTTGTATCATAATTTTAATATAGTTTTAATATTACTGAAAACTGACAGCAGCCCAAATATCATCTGGCTACTCCAACAAATGAATGAAAACATGACTAACAGGTTACAGAGAGCTCCATCCATAGTTTATCATTCGTAACAACCACAGAATCTGATTTGTCCCTAAAACTGAGCCAGAACATCTTGTTCATGAGACAAACTCAACAAATCAGATGGTGTCTGGATATGTAGGTTGTGGAACCTCTAGTTATATAATAAAATTTGTCTTCCAACATTGCTTTAAATTAATGCAGTGCAGTCTAAGGTTAAACATATCAGAAGAACCATTTAAGCTGGAAAAGGAGATAATAGTAAGCCTGCACTTTAGAGGATTTACCAGCTGATTGATAACAGTTCCACTATTCTAATTTGGCAAGTTAAAAATCATGTGCATATATAAATCCCACTGAAGACAGATTGCAAGGTAACATTTGGTGACCTGTACGCCATCTCATTTTTTGAAATAAAACATCTACGATAATAGATAAGAATCAGGTAGTATATTAATAACATCGAATTGAAGTTCTTGGTCCCCAAAATAATGGATATTTCTATGAATACCAGCTCATTGGTAAGATGTTCTAGTATTAGTTAATTATGTAGGTAACAAACAAAATATTTCTAATTGAGGATGTTAACACTGTTATATAATGTAATTTTGATGTTACAGAAGACTTCTGATTAGCAAATCTGAGATTTTCTATAAGAATATAAATTATTTATTCTGTACATTTGACTGGAGGTATAGCTTCTGAAAAAGTCTAAGGTATTTGCTAATCCAAACTCATTTCTTTTATATATGCAAGTCTGTGTGGAAATTCAAAACATCTAACATACAAATTGTATTTCAATATGCAAAATCTGAAATGCATCAGTATTAATATGATTGCCATATTTTTTTCTTATGCAATCTGACCATTTAAAAGCACATCAGAAATAAATAAAAAAAATGCTAAGGAAGGAGGAAGGAAAATTGTCTTAAAATTACCAGTTTAAAAACACATAAAGAGACAAATATAACAGTTTCTTTGACACTTGAATACATTTCTAGTTGACCAATTTCCTCTCATTCTCTTTGCAGCTTTGTAAAAGAAAACTATATCCTTTCAAGAAACCATTCTGTAGATTTCCAGTCCAGGATGCAAACATTCAAGGACATGTTTCTTATTTACTAATTCGTAGAGGAGCCAGCATAATTATGACAATTCTCTGATCATTCGTTATTCAGTGTTTCACTTTCTTTTGCTGCACATGTATGCACATATTATATGTCTTTGTCAAGGACAGTCTATTTAAATCCCAAAGTTCATACTTAAATATCCTTGATTTTCACAATTAATTCCAAAGAGCCCCTACCATAAATATAATTGTTCAGTACACATGTCCATACATTTCAAATCTACAGTCCACATATAGTATTGTCTTTAAAAAAGGTTCATTCTTAAGTTTAAAAGCCACAAACTTCCATTGTATATAGTACATTCAGATATTGTTTTCAGTTTCTATTCATTACAGAGTTATGGTCATGAGCTATAATTTTTATCAGAACAACGTTTATACTGCTGGAGAAATAATGTTTATAGTAGATATATGTAGCTACAGAAGAATGTAGATTCTGCTTGCCAAAATTGTCTTTATATGTATGTGTCTTTATATGTATGTGTCTATCTGTATGTGTATACAGATACACACACATGCACACACACACACATGTAGATATACAGTACATATAATGTTTCGACTCCATTCTCAATAAAAGAAAGAACAATATGGTGATGAATGCTGAGTTATACCAAAATATCACTTCTTTTGCTACACCATACCACTAAACCAACCATGGCAACTGTTAGAAGAATTGGAATAAAAATCAAAGGAACCAGAACTTTATCCGGAGGATCTTCCCAATGCACTTTATCTGAGGTACAGTTTGTAAAGAATTGTCTATGGATTCCAGTGATGAAGCCTTCAGCCAGTGGGTTAGGCCAAAAGCACTTTGCTGTTGAAACCTTGTGTTCTGTACATAGAATAAAGTTGTTGTAATACCTGAAAAACAAATATGAAAATAAGAAATACATTCTCAAAACACTGCTGAGAATTATTATTTTTCTTTCCTTCTAATTTAATGTACCCCTAGTTCAACAAGTTTTAACATCAAAGATTCTGCTTCCAAAATATAAGTCACAGTAGCTTTTTACAGGTTGTCCTCGATAAATGACCCTAAAAAGATGCAGTACTTTTTATTAGTAGTCCTTGAATAATGACCTAATAGGAACTGCTAAGCAAAGCAATCACTAAGCAGAAAGTTACACTGCAACTGTGCTCTCTATCTGGAAAGAGACCAGAGTAGTCAATTTCACACCTTTTCAGCATCCCTCAGTATCATGATCACCATTACAATCAATATGATGTAATTGGATTGGGAAATGCAAGGGTGTTATTCTTCTTCTGGGGCCATATCCATCATTGGACATTGACGATCATGTTGGCGATCCTATTTTTATGAACAGTCGCATGAAAAAGTGCTGCTGAGTTTTGTCCAAACCAGTCCCTTAGATTTTGAAGCCATGTTCTTCTTCTGCCTGGATCTCATTTGCCTTCAATCGTTCCCTGGACGATTAAGTGAAGTATGCTGTATTTTTCCAGGTGTCTCATGACATGTCCGAAATATTCTAACTTTTGCTTTTTAATGGTTTTGATGATTTGCCTAGGCTTTCCAGCTTATTTTTTAAAAAAAAAAACATCATGAGGTTATATTGCAATATAAAAATGGAGGAGAGATATGTAGAGCTAATTAGAGTAAACCAATCAAAATATATTTTAATAAATATATTTTAAATATGACCAGTACAGAATGAAAACCAGAGCAACTAAACATGGAAAAATGGAATCCATTTCAACAGAAGTGTTAATGAACATATTATATTACAATTTGCTCAGTGTTTCAAGAATGATGAAAACTTCCCCTTTGATCCTTAATTGGCCACAGTCAGAGTAAGTTCATATACAATGCTAAGCTACAACAGGGTTTATTTGATTCTGGCTTAATTTGTTGTATGAACCCAATTATTTTAATCTAGACAACTGATTATGCACAGTTAGAGGAAGGAGCATGAATTCAATATTACCTCTTTCAGTATGAGTAGAGTTTAATATTATGTCTAATGAAGAATAAGGATGTAGACAAATAGACTTTTCTTATGAATTTGAAGCTCAGAGGACTTAATATTCTGGGAGCAATTCACTGAGGCTTAGAGATTTTATAAAACATAAAAAACTAAATGAATTATCTCAATTTCTTTTCGGGAACGTCCCTGCCCCCCATTTATGAATATAACATTGATTAAAATCTTCACCAGAACAGAGAGGATACTCCACAAAATGATGCCACCTTTTTCATAACCCGTTCTTTTAGCTTCACACCGTATTTTTGGAGTATAAGACGCACCGGAGTATAAAACACAACTTAGTTTTTGATTAGGAAAGGGGAGCGGGATTCTGCCTACCAGGTATTCATCTGGCTAGTGTCCTTATTCTGGTCAACTTCAGCACATTAAGTTTTCTAGTTTTGAGCGTGCACGCTTTTATCCCCTGGACTATGTATTCCAAGTGAGGTCACACTGATTAACAATCACTTACAATCATTACCAACAATCATTATTGAGGTCAAATGAGAAGTCTATTTGGACCAAAAAGAGTACAGTTTCCTATCTAAACTCTATCTGAGATCATCAACCAGCATGATCAATGCTATTTCTATTCTGGAAACTTGGAGCAGTAATACTAGCACATTATCTGCTCCACAGAAAAGTTAAAGGGCATACTAAATGAGAAGGTAGCCACAATTTGCAAAAGAATGTGTTGCATTGGAAGAAGTAGATTTTTTCATTGCTACTCCCCCCCCCCATGATCAGCTGTGCTTTAGAAGCTTTTTTTCAGCGCTAATGAGGTGCTAACATTGGAGGGAGCAGCAATGAGAAAAGCAGGCAAAGCACAGATCACCACTCGTTAGCTCTTCATTAGGGCTGAAAAAAAGCTTTGAAAAAGCTACATTTGAAATATAATGCACCCAAATTTTCAGCCTCTTTTAATGGGGGGGGTTCTTATACTCCGAAAAATACAGTATATTTTTTCTATTTGTGAAATAGATATTTCATCACTTTTCATGTCATTCACTATTTTTAATAGAGATTTGCCATATATTCTTTATTTATTTATTCATTTTATAGAGCCACCCACCTCAATTCCTATTGGCTCTGGATGAAAGAACTGTGTTCCAACTGCCAGTTGCCTTATATTAACATGCTCTGAACAATTCACTAGATGCTTGGATTTGGTCTATGGCATGCATAATTGTAGAACTGTTCAAAAGGTTTAACTTTAAATTATATGTGTGGATATGTTTCTAAACCTAAATGTGAAATAAAGCACTTTAGGAATTCACTTAGGAGGAGTTGCTAAAATCAACATTTTTCAGAAAAATCCCCATTTGCTTTCTAATAATAGAATATCATTGTTACTGATTGTGATTGTGGAGCCATCTTTGCTCACCACATTACATTTACTGTAACACTTTCAAGGACCAGTGCTAGTATGTATACCAGTGTCACAATTCCCAAAAAAGTTTTGTCACGTATCTCATTTCTTCCACTCTTTCATTTCCATGCCCAATTTAAAGACTCGTTGCTCATAACAAAAAGGAGAAAGTAAATACCTTAATGTATAGCACCTATCATGCTAAATAACTTCTAATTTAAAGTTTGCAATTAGAAAGCAATTTATTAAATATTGCAACAAATATAAGAACTATGAACTAGAAATGCATAACAGAAAAATATTTATTATATTGCTGTAGCCACACATATTTGAATGAGAAGATCCTTTTTGTGCCTTTAAAAATGACACAGCTTACAGCATGTAATTTTAAATTATGAAAAGAGAAGATTTTACTTATCTTAATGTCATTTTGAAATTTATGCTATATCATCAGTGCACAAACCTGAGCATTCAAATTATGCTATGCTTCACTTCCAATATTATCAGTAGGGCAAATTATCTGCAACAATCTCATGTCCTAAGGTTATAGAGCTCTTATTTCATTATTTGAATTTCTTAGATTATTTACTACTTGACTCCTATTGAGTCATCACTTCAGAGATATTTCTTACGTAAGCAGAGAAACAGAATGACTACAGATGAGCAAAAAAGCAACTGGAATAAGAGCAACGTCTGACTACTTGCCAGCTTCACCATTGAATTTCCTTGTGGGAACTTGGCAGGGAACATCAGAAATATTCCTTCCTTTCATTAATAGAGTAATAAAAACAAGATCACATGAAGTGTTAGTACCATTTTATAATCCCTTTGCAAGACCATACTTGAAATATTGCATCTAGTTTTGGTCATTACAATGTAAAAACGATATTGAAAAAGTGCAGAGAATAGCAAGTAAGATAATTAGGGTGTTTGGGGCTAAAATATATGAAGAATTGTTGCAGGAATTGGGTATGCCTTGTTTAATGAAAAGAAGAACTAGGGATGACATGATAGTAGTGTTTCAATATCTAAGGGGATGCCATAAAGAAGACGGGTCAACTTATTGTCCAAATCACCTGAAGCCAGGATAAGAAATAATGGATGGAAACTAATCCAGGAGAGAACCAACCTAGAACTAAGGAGAAATTTCTTGATAATTAGAACAATTACTCTGTGAGATGACTTGCCTCCAGAGGTTGTGGGTGCTCCAGCACTGGAGGTTTTTAAAAGAGATTGGATAATCATTTGACTGAAATGGTATATGGTTTCATACTTGAGCAGGGAGTTGGACTAGTAGATTACCAATGTCTTTTCCAATTCTGTTATTCTGTTATTCAATTTAACTGTTCAAAAGCCAAATAATTTTATGCTTATAATATTTACATTTTAAATTGAAATTAACATTTATAGTTTTTTTTTCAATTCTCCATTTTCAATACTTCAAGCTGTCTGAGTAATAGAATGTTGATAATCTTTAATTATATGTGGTTCATATACATATCACTGTACTGTACTGAAATAAAGCTCATTCCTATTACAGACTGTTTAAAGTTCTTTTTCTACTGATAGCAGTGCTGTTTCCTTTTCTGCTCACACACAAGAACAATTATTTCTTTTTCTATTTGTGACTTGAAAATCTTCCTCCTCTTTACTTTTCTACTTTTCTGCATATTTCACTTTTATTAAATTTGCTTTGACTACCTATTCCTATCTACCTATCTAAATATATCTAAAGATAGATATATGCTATGTATAAAAGGTACCCTAAACTATCTAAATAAAAATTTTCTACTCCGATAAGAGAAGCAAGCCTTCTTTTTCTGTTTGTTAGATTATAGGCTTGATTTGAAAATCCATTCATTCTCTTAATTTATTTTGTGAGATTAAGCATACATATATATTCTTGGAAAAAGTCTTATATTATTTTAGCAGGAAGAAAACCAGCTCCTTCATAAAGTATGGTAGATTTGTCCAAACGTTGGTAGATTAGTAGTTGTTTATTCCCTTATTCCTTCCTTATTTAGAGTTGTTTACAAACTTGCCCTTGGGCTTCCATATTTTTGCTATCTAATTAATTTTATATTATTTCCCTGTATTGCTTGTGTCTTAATTAAGCCCATTGGTATTTTAGAACAGGACACTGTGATGTTGTCACAGATATCCTTTAATCTTTACCTATTCACCACAAACTTGACATCAAACTCAACAGAAGATGTATTTAATACTTCGTTTTTCTTTTTGACACAATGTTTACACTCCTTGTATCCTTGCAGGTGTAAATCAGGAAGGATATACTGAGACAATTAAAATGTTAACATTGGATTGTTCAAAAATCTTAAAACCTTACTTATTGTAATACTGTTGACAGAATTATCATCAGCAGATTGTCAAACACTTTATAAATATCTGTACTGTTAGCATCTGTGTTTGTATAGAGAAGTGAACAAAGCAGATGTATTTCTAATAAAGGTCTAATAATAATTGTTTTGCAGAACAGTTTTTCAAAAACA